GTTAATGTGGTTTATTACGTTTATTGATTTTTGTATGTGGAACTACCCCTGGTTTCTTTTATTTCTTCTTGTGCTTTTTCAAATTCTTATTTTTGTTGTCTTGGAATTTCTTGAGTGTCTCCCGTACATTTTGGATTGACAATATCCCAGTATCATTCTATAAATTTTCACTGAATTACCTGTAGTATTTTCTCTTTTAGATTGTTCTTGATGGGCTTTTGGGTTCTTTGCATAGTCTTATCTTTATGTTGTTGGGAGTCTGCATCTGTAGTATCTTTTTCTTTATTCCCTCTGGTTCCTGTACTAATTTTTTACTGTGGGGAAACTGGTTTCCCTGTTTTTCTGTCTTCCTGTCATTGCTCTTGGTGTTGTTATTGTCCTGTACTGTGTGCAATTACAGTTTTTCTAGCTTGTAATAATAACAGTGGTGATATTTAGAATGGAAGGGTGAGAGGAGATGGAAAGCAAAGAAGTTAAAGAAAAGGGAAAAACAAATAAACAAGTAGAAAAAACCAAAACAAACAAAAGATATAAACAGGGAGAAATAGTGTACTAATCAACAGTAAGCTGAACAGGCATTAGAGAGAGGATTGAAAATAAAAACTAAAAAATAAATAAATGAAAAAAAAATCTCCAAGTTCAAATGCAATAAAGTTTCAGTCTTAATAATTTTGGTGTTTGTTCCTCAGCCTCCAATCCTGGAGATGGTGTCTCAGAAGTAGTTCTGTCATTGTCTCATCAAAGGGGAAAAAGAAACTAAAAAGAAAACAACACAAAACAAAATAAAAACCCCACAAAGTGTCCCAAGTTCAAATGCAATACATTTTCAGTAAGTGTTTCAGCATGCACGTGTAGTTTGGTTGTTGTCTCATCAAAGGAAGAAAGAAAAAAAGAAGAGTCTGGAGACAGTTCTGTGAATGGCTGTATGAGGCTGCAGGTCACCTGCCGGCTGCTGTCAGCCTGCTGTTGCTGGAGGGTTTATTTATGCAGATCTCTGGAGTGAGCTTAACACTTACCTGGCCCTGCAGGCTTTGTTTACTTAGAGTTCTCCCTTGCTTGAGCCACTGCTGCAAGCTTTCCCCTTTCCAAGCACACTGGGGGAGGTGACACTATACCAGCTTTCTTAGGGCTGCATGTTTATTTACTGTTCACATGGGAAGTGGGTCTTCCCCCCTCTCCTGTGGAGTTTTCCTCCCACTGCCACTTTTACAAGCTTTCCTGCTCCTGTTTGCTGGGCGTGTGTCGCCGCTCCTTCCTTTTCCAGCTGGCTTGTTGTGGGGGATTTCCCCTCCCCCCCTTCGGCGCTCAGGACACCTTGCCCTCTTTGCTAACTGTCTTTTTTGTTGTTATTGCTTATTATTCAGTTTTTTTTTTCTTTTTTCCCTGGGTGGGGGTCGGTCTGTCCAGGGGGCTATGCTGATCTGGCCCAGGGTTGTCTGTGGGAGTACTGCGTACTGCTTAGCTCACCTTGTGGTCTGCGTCTTCCCAAGCCATCTGGGCACTGCTGTCTGGCGGCAGTGCGGAAGCCCTCCTGGTTTCTCCGTTTAATGTGAAGTGGAGATGCTATGCCCGTGCGGGAGGTGTGGAGGAGTCAAAGTTTTGCCTCTTCTCGGTGGTTTTTCCTGTAAGGTGTATCTCCAGCGTCTCTCTAAGATTTTACTTTAGGAGGCACGCTTTCTGCTTCCTCCCTCTAGCCGCCATCTTGGAATCATCTCAAGGCCTTATGATTGCTCGGCAGGTTCTCTGCCGCTTGAGCCATGCCCCTAGTCCTTTAGTTTTAGTTATTTTTTGGATAGAGTTTGTCATTTATGTGTAGGCCAACCTGGACTGAGATACTCTTATTTATGCTTCCTGGGTAATGGATGACTACCACCATGCCTGGCCTTGAATGGCGGTTTCCCATATTGAATTCTGTGACTAGTATGTGGAATTGAGATATACTGTATTTTTGATGGAAGGTACAGGCCTCAGATGAGCTTGGCTTGTTTTGAAATGTTCCACTTTTTAGAGGAAGGTACAAGGAGATTTAGGATTAGGGCCCTAAATTTTTTTTTTTCATAAGCAGGTATTTGACTAATGTATTACTGAGAAAATTTCTGGATTTTGTATAATAATATGGCCATGAAGTTTTTTTGTTGTTTTTTTGGTGGCACTGGGGTTTGAACTCAGGGTGTTGTGCTTGCTAGGGGCCATGAAGTTTTAAAGGAATCTTTACCCAAATTAGGATTCCTTTGCTATAAAGAGCATTCATATGGCCTAGGTTTAATATCAAGAGGTTTTAATATTTTGGAAAATTTGGACAACTTTCTAAATTGTTTTTTGATGGATCCTAAAATCTTTTTGTTTTTGAATCACTACCACTTTTTATATTCAACTCTTTTTTCTTTTTTGATGGTACCAGGCCTCATGATTGCTAGGCAGGCATTCTACCACTTGAGCCATTCCATTAGCTCTTTTTTGTGATATTTTTGAGGTAGGGTCTCGCAGATTATTTGCCTGGGAGTGGCTTCTAATCAAGGTTCTCTGATCTCTTCCTTTTGAGTAGCTAGGATTACAGGCATGAGCCACTGGTGCCCTACACTTTTTTTGGTTTTGTTTTTAAGATTGGTCTCGCCCTATTGCCTAAAACTTGCATCTTGTCATCTCAGCCTTCCTGAGATGCTGCATTTTTTTTTCTGTCACCACATTATTCTCAAAATTGTCTAGATCAGCTTCCTCCTTTATGATTTTGTGTTCATCAGAGATTTATTGAACACCCATTTTAGATGAGACATTACTCCAGGCATTGGGGAAATGGGAGTAAGTCTGATGGGGTCTAGCTTTACAGTGCTATGTGTAGTGAACTGAGTTTTAGCTTGCATAACACAGCCTTTTCTGGCTGAAGTATATGTCTGTTTAAGCAATCTGGGAAGAAAACAGGATGGTGGGGTTTGTGTAACAGAAAATTAATGCATATTAATTTTCAAGATAAAATATCACTTGTAATCTTACAAGTGATAATTACTTAAAGATAATTAGTATTAGCACTTTGAAGTATACTTCCATACATTTACATGGTTCAGAAAAACATGTATGTTTTTCTTTAAGGTGTAATTTACTTATAATAAAACCCACAGATGTTAAGTGTGGTTGAAAAGGTGGGTTTTTTTGGGGGGAGTGGGTAAGTGGGGTTTGAACTTAGGGCCTACACCTTGAGCCACTCCACCAGCTCTTTTTTGTGAAGGATTTTTTCGAGATAGGGTCTTGGGAAGTATTTGCTGGCTTTGAACCATGATCCTCTTGATCTCTGTCTCCTGAGTAGCTAGGATTACAGGTGTGAGCCACTAGCGCCCAGCAGCTGAAAAGTTTTGACAGCAAATGTGCACAACATGGAACTTCACCCAAGCCAGGATGAGGAGTTTTACCCTGTGAAGCTCCCTCCTGCCTTTTCCCAGTAAATTCACTTGTAGAAATATCCACTGTTCTGATTTCTGTTACCACGGGTTGGTTTTGCTTGTTCTTTTGGTATGTGAACTTTTGTATTTAGTTTCTTTTGTGGGTTTTTTTTTTTAACTTTTTAATGGTTAACACATTTAGATGGTTCAAAATTTAAAAGGTTCAGAGGATGTGCAAAGAGTTTCCTTACCACCACCAACCCGCCAACCACCCGCTCTCTTATCTGGAGGCATTTTTTATCCTGGTTTTTTTCTTTTTTTTTCTCTTGGCAGAACTGGGGATTGAACTCAGGGCCTTGCACTTGTTAGGCAGGTGCTCTTACTACTTGGGTCACTCTGCCAACCCTCTATATTTTGCCCAATAATACAACATACACATATACAGTGCAGCCTTTTTAAAACTTCAAAGTGTAATCATTACCTATCAGTACCCAAAAAGCTTCCTTTGTCACATTTATGGAGTATTTATTGCTCATAGTATTCCAATTTATTTAATCAGTCCCTTGTTATTGAACTTACAAGTGGTGTTGCTAATCTTTTGCTATTCTAAGCAGAGGCACAGTGAAAACCCCTATGTATAAGTTGTTGCTCATCAGTAAAAATTCATGGCAGAATCTTACCATGTAGCCTATGCTGGCCTTGAACTTGCAGCCCTCCTCCCTCAACCGCCTGAGTGCTATAATTACAGGCAGGCACCACCATGCCCAGCCTAGTATTTTCTTGCTGCATTGTATTAGAAGGTACGTACTCTCTAGGTTGTGTCTGTTTTTGTGGGATGTTAAGCTTGATCACTGGGTACAAGTATAGTGACCATGACCCATTGTTTCTAGAGCACTCCTTTTTAGGGATCTTTTTATGTTTTCCCTAGTCCTCTGCTTCAGTTTTAGCAACCATCAGTGATCATTGTCTAGATCCATTATGTTATCAGGGATTGTCAAATGGAGATATTCTTACGTTGGTATTCCTTCTCCATTTTCTTGGTGGGAATTGTTGTTGTTTCTTATAGTTCTGGGAATGGAGCCCAGGGCCTTGTGTATACTAGGCATGATCACTTAACACTGAGTTACATCCCCAGCCCATTGGCATTCTTTTATAAAGAACAGCTTTGGTTCATTAACTATGGTTGGTTATGTAGCTGAATTCATGACTGTTTCCTTAGGATGGGCTCCTAAAATGGAATTGCTTGGGGAAAAAGTTTCTGTTATTGAAACCTATTATTTCATAAATATTGTGAGATTCCTCCTGAAGACATGATACTAGTGTACACATCTACCCTTGTCATACAAGTGAAATGCTGTTTGTAACTTGTAGAAACAGTGAGGAGAGAAGTGAATGTCTTTGCCAATCAGAACTATCATCCCTTGGCTTTTTCTCTTATTGAGAGCTAATAAATGAATATTAGGGTAAATATAGAATGACACCAGAACTTTCCTATTTTTTTCACTTGTATGTATTGAACAGTTTTAAATTAGAAATCAGAAGGATAATTAACCATGTTTCATATTATAATATCCCTCTTCACTTCAACAGTTGTAAAAATCTAACATTTTCTTTTCTCTTGCAGTGAAATTTCTGGGGGCAAACCCTTGGAAGTGGAGATGGAAGGTATAGAATACATGAATGATGACCCTGGTATGGTGGACGTCCTTTATGCCAAAGTCCACATGAAAGATGGCTCCAACAGGTATATTCTGGAATCCTTACGTGTTTCAGTTGAGAAGTGCTTAAAAACTTCGTGGAAATTCAATTTGTTTTAACTCCTTTTGATCTTATTATTTCTAAGAGTCAATTTTTTTTTTTTTTGAGACAAAGTCTCACTTATGTAGCTCATGAGGGCTGCCTTTGAACTTCCTCTTCCTGTCTCAGCCTCCTGAGTGCTGGAATTATAGGCATGTATGCCATGCCTAGATCTTCCTTTGTTTAAAAAAAAATAAAGTAAGTTAGTATCTTGAAAGAAGAATTTACTGTAGGAAAAAGTATCTGACTTTGAGGATAGTAGATATTGATAGCGACAAACAATTTTTTGTGGAACTCAGTGCTTTTTTTGTATTTTCCTGGATCACAGGAGGCAGAAAGGATGGCCTTTTAGGATGAGAGTTTCAGACACAATGTAATGCAGATGTAGTGAATACCAGGAAAAACAGGATGGAAATTTTGCTGTTAAAGAAGTATTAAGACTAAATTAATCTGTATAAACAGTACTTGGCACATACTAACATCATCAAAAACTATAATTTTTCATTTTTATGATTTTCACACCTACATCTCTTCTAGGGAGTCTCAGTCTGTAATCAAGACTGTTTCTGAGCCTGGCCTAGGCCTCCACTGGCATTTTCAATGTTAGTGGCATTTATTAGTTGACATAGGGCTTTTGGTGTGTAAAGACACACATCTTAAATTGGAAGTTTGTTTTTGTGTGGTCTTTTCATTAGGGCAGGGTAGAACAGGGCTCACACTGAGTTAGAAATCCTTGAGAGAAAATCTTAAGTAGACCTCCCCAAATTTATTTGCTTTCTTACAAGCTTTCTTTTATCTGAATTTGAATTGATATTCTCAATTATCTCTTACCTCGATCTACTTGGAAGTGAATTTTGAGGGTAATAGAGGAAATATTGTATAGTATCATATAGAATCTATTTTTTTGTGTTCAGTGCCAGATTTTTCTTTTTCTAGATAGCTGACATGTGTCTAAAGGGCATACTAGTTATACTACCTAAAAACTGGGGGCAGATTGCTCCTTAATATTCATTCATATACTAGAACATCCCAAAACACTTCTACCATGTTGGAATTTGATATCTGGTATGGATACTTTGTGTCCTAAGTCATGGCTTCACAGTATTGTAGATCTACTGTAGATGGGGTAGATTAATTTTCTTTTTCTTTTTCTGGGAGAGGATGTTAATGGGGTTTGAACTCAGGGCTTCATGCTTGCTAGGCAGGTGCTCTACTGCTTGAGCTTCCCCTCCAGCCCTACTTTCCAGTGTTGTGAACAGAAATAATGAATGATCTAAGATACAAGATAATAGTCTTCAAAGGTTTTGTCTCATAATTGCTTCAATTTCTTAAAAATTATGAGAACCCCAAATAGCTTTTGTTTTTATGGGTTATAATCCATTGATATTTACCTTATTAGAAATTAAAACTGAGAAATTTAATCTGTTAATTCCTTTAAAAATAATAATAAGGCTGGGCACAGTAGCTCATGCCTGTAATCTCATCTACTTGGGAGGCAGAGATCAGGAGGATTGCAGTTCAAAGCCAGCCTAGGCAAAAAGTTAGGAGGCCCCATCTCAATCTACACCAGGTGTGGTGGTGCGTGCCTATGTTTCTAGGTATGTGGGATGCATTGGGTAGGAAGTTTGTGGTTGGAGGTGGGCCCTGGGTAAAAACACAAGACCCTATCTGAAAAACAACTGAAGCAATAAAGGACTGGGGGCATGGTTTAAGTGGTAGAGCACATGCCCCTAGTAAACATGAGGCCCTGAGGACCTGAGCTCAAACCCCAGTACTGCCAAAAAATAGTAATAAAACCATTTCTTATTTATATAAATAATATTCATGAAAAATCACTCCATTATTCAAACCAAAAATTGTAGTGAAAGAATAGGCACATGGTTTTGCATTTTTGTAGCTTCTTTGATAGAAGGCAGCTGGGTTCTCATGTCTGCTTCTGCATTCACTCTGTTGCGAAATATTGTTCAGTTGAACCCTATAAA